CCCCCCCGCCTCCGCCTCCGCCGCCGCCGCCTCCGTCGTCCACATGGGATTTCTGGGACCCATTTGTGGCTTCTTCTTCGAGGCCAGTGACTGAAGAAGAGTGGGAGGACAACACGACTGCCTCCGATGCGGTGATCACCGTCACGGCGGCGAGCACGGCGGCGCCGCCTTCTGTCGTCAGTGCGTTTTCTAAAGAGAGTGGGGCGCCTACGAGTGAGCTTGCCATGGTGGTTTCGAGAAATGCTAAGGATCTGGTTGAGATTATAAAGGAGCTTGATGAGTATTTCCTCAAGGCTGCTGATGCTGGCGGACTTCTCTCCTTGCTCTTGGAAGTTCCCACCCCTGGATTTTCTTCTTGTCAAAATAAAGGGGGTAAAGTTTTAATGTTTTTTTTTTATGTTTGAAGTGATTTTCTTTTTGGGTTCTAGCTCTGTTTGTTTGCTGAGAAAACTGGGGGAAAATGAGAGGAAAGAGAACAATTTTAATTTTTACTGTTTTATATTTTGATGTAATGGATGGTTTTGTTTTTTTTCTTGGGCAGGTAAAGTTTATAACCATGGGTGTAATTTGAGCCCCTCACTGTGGACATGGGGAGGTTCAAGTCCCAAGTTTGGTGGGTTTGGAAAGATGGGTTGTGATGAGATGGTGCTTAGCCATTTAGGTAGTGGGGTTGGAGAGGAGGGTGTTGTGAGTAGCAGCCATTGCTCTACTGTGGAGAGGCTTTATGCTTGGGAAAAGAAACTATACCAGGAAGTCAAGGTAAACTTTTGGTTCTCATATCTTTTGTGGGCTCCTGGTGGAGCTTTTGCCCATACACAATCATATTGTTTTTTTATTTTAATTTTACTTTTGGGGCCCAATCATGACATATGAACTTTGGAGTTTTAAAGTTATTCAATGAGATCATGCACATCCATGTGTGTGTATTTTTGTTTCATTTAGTTTAGATTTATGTTTTCGTTTTGGGGATGGTTTTAGGATGCTGAGACAATAAAGATAGAGCATGAGAAGAGGGTGGCTACCTTGAAGAAGCTAGAGATGAAGAGGGCAGACTATGTGAAGACTGAGAAGACCAAGAATGATGTGGAAAAGCTGGAGTCACAAATGATGGTTGCTTCACAGGCCATTGACACAACTTCTGCTGAAATCATCAAACTCAGGGAGACAGAGCTGTACCCTCAACTCATTGAGCTTGTCAAGGGGTTAGTCTTTTCTTTGGTCAATACTCAAAGGGTTAGTCTTGAGCATACAAGAGTTTTCATTTTCTTTATCTTCTTTTTGGTAAATATATCATCTCAAATTAATGCCACAGATATTGAATATCTGGCTTAACAGACTGAAAGTCAAAGGTCTGATATTTTGGGGTAGCAGTAAAAAAATTCGTTTGACTGCTTTTGACTGGTTGTTTTGTGTCCTTTGTTTGCTTTTCCTTGGAAAGATTTACTGATTCGTACAGCCATGTAAACTTTGAAAATACCTTAACACAATACCATATTTTGCTTGCTTTTACAGATTGATGTGCATGTGGAGAAGCATGTATGAGTGCCACCAGGTCCAAAAGCACATTGTTCAGCAGCTCAAATACCTGAACACAATACCATCTACTGAACCTACATCTGAGATTCACAGGCAAGCAACACTCCAGCTTGAGCTTCAAGTCCAGCAATGGCACCAGTCATTTTGCAACCTGGTCAAGGCTCAATTGGACTACATCCAGTCCCTAACAGGATGGCTCCGGCTTAGCCTCTTCCAGTTTAGGAGACATCCAATATCAAAGACAAGTCAAGAATCAAGAATTTACATGCTCTGTGAAGAATGGCACCATGCAATTGACCGGATTCCGGACAAAGTAGCATCTGAAGGAATCAAGAGCTTTTTAACCGTAGTTCATGCTATTGTAGTTCAACAAGCAGAGGAATATAAGCAAAAAAAGAAGTCAGAATCGACATTTAAAGAGCTTGAGAAGAAGGCAACTGTGCTTAGATCGCTGGAGTCCAAGTATGGCCCATATTCAATGCCTGATTCCGCTAGCACTTCTACAAAGAACCCAGTTGCTGAGAAGCGGGCAAAGGTGGAGGTGTTGAGGGCAAAAGCAGAAGAGGAGAAGAGCAAGCATGAAAAGTCAGTGAGTGTGACAAGAGCCATGACACTAAATAACTTGCAGATGGGGTTTCCTCATGTCTTTGAGGCGATGGTGGGATTTTCAAGTGTGTGTATGCAGGCATTCGAGTCATTATATAACCAAGCCAAAAGTGCTAATCAGGAGCTTGACGTTAAGAGGTTACTACAGTGAGGAGAAGATTCAAATTTCAGGAAGATTGGCAGCACTGTAATCAGTTTTCTGTGTATATCGCGCATCCTTTCAGTAAGCTTGATGTTGAGGGGTTACTAAATCGATGAAAAGACTTAAAAGTTCTGGAGGAATGACAGCATTGTAATCAGTTTTCGTGTATAGATAAATGCACATCCTTTCAGTTATCATTAACCATAGTGGAGGAGACTATCAGTGACAGGATTCCCCTTTTTAAGATAACCTTGACACAATTATGCAGATTAGGGAAACACTGACCCGGAAACAGAAGTGGTTGAATATTTGGAATGCAACAGAGCAAGGATATTCTAGTTAGTTTTCAACTTTTCAAATGTTTGTTCTGTTTTCTCACATGAAAGGCGTCCGGAATGCTATTTACTCTTCCCTTGTTTAGTTTGATAGTTTCCCTTTTCTTCTTGTGGGTTGACTGTTTAGTTTTATTTAATTATTCTTAATGAAGGTGTTTTTGGGTTTGTTTTCTAATTCGTTTGTTTAAAAGTACCATGGCAGTTGTTATGAACCACGAGCAAAATTCAAGATCGGAGAAAGATAGGACTTTGTAGGTTACCTTTTCTTCTTAGCGTTCACACATTACATTAAGCTTGATTGCAATATTCAGATTCATTAAAACTAGATTTTCATATCAGGAAGAGGAGGCACAACAGGTTGCTTTTCATGTTGGCATAATATAAGTCTAGAATTCAAGGGATTATATTTGGACCTCATGTTTCTTTACAGTTCTTGTGTATTACAGAAAAAAATTTGCATTCCTGAGATTCGGAATGTAAACGCACTTATGAACCAGAAGTTTGACGAAATGGGTTAAAAGTAAAACCAGGCTGCTGAATATATACAAAGCCAATATTCACACAATACAGATTAGATAAAGATCAAAACTACATTAAAGTTTTTTTATCAATCAATCTAGAGAACGGGATCTGATGTGCACTTCCTAAGCAACCAAATCAAGCGTTTTTCACCTTTGAGAGACAAGAACACCTCCCTTGCAATGGGTTTGTTGAACAGATCAAGCGCAGCAAAATAGATTTGCTCATCAACACCTTGCATCTTATCCAATTCTGCAATACAATTAGCTATGGTGTATCTGGCATTATGTTGCTGTGTAGCAGCTGTCCTCAGCTTTGATGCAGCTGCCATCTCCAATATAGCTCCTGCAATAGCATCATCAATACCCTTGCGCCCTCTTTTACGGATGCCAGTAGTGCTAGGTGTACTAGGTTGAATTGTTTCTTGATCATTGACGGCGTCATTTGCTTCCTCAGAATCTGATGAGGACACTTCTTGCTCCGGTGGACAAGAATTTGGATCCCCACCCTCGTGTTCAGCTGGATGGTCATGTTTCCCGTTTGTTGGTGGTTCTGAAAATATGGTGCACAGCTCTTTATAAATTGGGCAGCCACTGACTTTTAAGGTCTCGGCATCAGGATGTTCCTGCTTAAAGAAGAATCCTACATATCAGGTAGGTTTAGAATTGTGTTGTACAAGCAACATATATGACGAGGAACATACCCTGACATATTCAGCCCACACTTCATCACTGGCTACAATAGCCCCTGTGGATTCGTCCCAACTGAAGTCACTTCGATCAAGAAGTGAAGTAACTGTAACATAGATCCTCCTCAAAACTGCACCTCGGTTCTTCAGTTGCTCCTTGTCCCATTTCAGACCTGTTCTCTTATGGAACTCATCACACATATACTTCCATGCTTTCTTGCCAAAATTATGATTTTTTCTGTTCCCTTTGTGTACTTGATCCACCATTAAGTTTACAAGTATTTCAGTAAGAGGTGTTGTCCACCTAGCCCTTGACTGTTGCTGCTGATGCTGAAGTGTTAGTCCCCGCGTCCGAGTAGGACGGTTTGCCATCTGAAATCACAAGACATGATTCAAACTAGAAGGCAGGTATATGCCCAAACAACTAATGCCAAAGAATGAATATTGCCCTACATTTTGCAATTGTGTCAACTTTACATAGACAAAAAAGCAACAAATGAGTTGACAAACAAGCTCAAAGAAGTCAAAATTATCATGTTCTGAAGTCTGAACTGACTTAAATGAACCACCTTTTTATGAGAACAAATTCTACATTTCCAGGGGATGACTGATGACAAATCTCAGTCGCACAGATTCTGATGGCAACCCATTTCTTCTTATAACCCCACTTCTATTCAAGAAGTCATTTCAGAACATTCCCATTACAATTTTTACATCAAAATGCAGACCCACCTGGGATAATCATGCATCCGCTTGACTTTGAGTACGGGTGACAAACAACATGCAAAATACAATACAACCTCAATTGATAAAACTTCTACAATTAAGACAATAGTTTTCCCTGATGCAATTTTCACCAAATAAAAAACATATTAACTGAAAAATTAAGTGCAAAAATAATTTCAAATTATTCATATTTCAAAATTAAAAGATTGAAAGTGTTAAAATAAGCTGAACCAAGAATAAACCCTAAAGAAGTGGAGAGAGAGAGGTACCTTTGAAGAAGCCCCAACTCTCCGTTGAGGAATGAACTGCTGCTATATTATTAAGGAGTCTATATACCCAATAATGATGATGAGGCGGAGGAGGAGAAAGTAGAGGGAGAGTTTGAAGACAAAAAAAAAGCGGAAGAATCGCCGATTTCCTCCGAGTTTAAGAACTGCGTTTTTCCGGCGAACAATTTCGTGCTCCCAAACAAGGCTCTCTGTCAGTCCCAAAAAAATTAAAAAAGTTAAAAATTTCTCGCTTTGCCTTCGTGTGTTCAGGAGAGAAGAGTAATTTTGCTATAAGTCGGAATTAGATGTTAAAGACTTTTTTTTGTTTGCTTTTTGTCTTTTTAGCGAAGATTTTTCTGTGTTAATTTTTTTTGTTCAATCATATTTATTTACATTTTTTTAATAGTGATCATATTTACATTTTAGTCATCTTGAGTAAGGGGTAAATAAAAATTTATTTAATTACCATTGACGTTACATACAGTCCATAGTAATTTCAAGTTTCAACAATAAGGAGAATTAGGAGATAAAATTTATAATTTCAAGTTTTGACATTGACTTTTCAGTCCGTAGTTATATTTTAATTTATATTTTCTTACACCAGATCATATTATTTTGTTGGAGATAAAATTTGCATTTTTATTATTTCTCAAGTATATTTTTAGGTTTCATTTGTTCTTCTGATCACAAGAAATTTCTCAAGAGAATCAAAAAACAAAAACGAAAAACAATTCTCAAGATAGTGGTTTTTATAAACACTTAATCAGCTCCTAAGAAGGCTAGAGCTAGCTCTTTATATGACAGAACTTCCACTAGTAACTGTACCAAGAACTCGGATTTCCAAATCTGGCATCGACCACAAAAGGTTATACAACTTTCATTAGGTACCAGAATTTCTTTTTAACATTACCCACAAAAAAAAGAAAATTAATGATTACTTTCTAGGAACTAGTTTACAAGAACACGCCAATCTAAACTAAGTTTTGCTTCTCAAGTACTCCCTATGTCTTACCATTCTTCTATTTCATCATCAGAAATTTCAGTTTCTTGACCGTCAAAACTTATCGTTTCAACATTGTCTTCTTCCTTGTAGCCTTGCACTGCCCTAAATCCAAGCCATTTCAACACAGGTGTGTACTCAGTAGCAATAACTGTCAAATCGGATGCACACATTCCACTATAAGCGCCAAATCTCCGTTTTACCATCTCCTTCTGCAATGGCACATCAAAAAGAAACGTCACAAACAGCAGAGAGTAAGTACTATGGTGGTTTAAGCCAATAAAGTGACTGACATGAATATTATACATAACCACATCAATCATCTATAAAGACCTAGTACTACCAACCATATCATTTATTTCATTAAGTTCGAAATATGACATAGAGCAGCACGCAATGGAAAATTATGCAATTTAAATTCAAAACCAACCTTGTTACGCAATGATGATTGCTCAACCTGCCAGACCTTTGGCCGGCGAACGGCATGCCACCTGTGTACTTGCAACAATTGGTGATATTATCTGAAATTACATGAGTCGTTGCTCACACATTAGGATTAATTCAAGTATATAGAGAATACCTGGAAGGCAATGGATGAAAATTTCCAAATAGCACACCCCGAGCAGCAACTGAGGCACCAGCTGATTGTAGAATGTTCTCTGCCTCATACTGTCTACTTAGCATTCCACGGAAAGTAGCAAGAAGCAAGTCAGCATCACCTAAGTATGAAGCAACTGCCCACGCATCATCTATGGCCTCCTCACTCAGAAAATCTAGAACTGCAAGAAAATTGTGTGGAAGAGTCAGAAATCAGCAGCATCAATATGCTACCATTTTGCTCTGTCTCACATGTGTATGCGTGTGTGCATGCACTTTGCATCCATGTATGAGAAAGAGTAATTGTGATTACATTCAGGAAGTCACAATCTATAGGTAAAAAAGGTCACCATTTTCATGTAGAAAGTCGGCAACAGGCCTAGCTTGTCCATGTGCTTGGCATAGAATCTTTTCTGGAGCATCCATTTTTAGTGGTAGTCTAGACAATCCTTCCCGCACATGAAATGCATCTCCGTCTACAAAACAAGAACATGAGCACAGATGTGAACATCTCAAGTGAAATTAAACCCTCAGGTTGGTATCCACACTTGAACGATTGTATATATGTGTGTATGTATAATACATATATATATAAGGGATTATGTTGTTCCCAACTTTCGAGTGATATATTCTTGAGAATTTAAACGGGGAAAAACATTTAACAATATGCATGCACCAAAAAACTGACTAAAATAAAGAGTCAAAGCTGCATACTACTTTCATCAGAACATACCCAATGCCATGACATTTTCCGTCTCTCTTTTGTTATGCAGAAACTTCCCAAGGGCATGGAATAGAGAAAGTGTATCATCTCTGCCAAATTGGAAGGAAAACCCATCGTCCAAAGCATTTACCTCATATGGTTTCTCTTTAGCAGATGTGGTAGCAGGACTTGATGAAGACAACAAATGCCTCGGATTTGGTTTCAGAAAGAAAAACTGCAGAGACGTAATTGCATGTCTAATGTCACCTCCACTTGCTTTTGCTATTAGACTGACTTGTTCAGTAGTCACATTACACTGCTCTTCTTTACATATTCTAGAAAGTACTTTCTTGATGGAATTATCTGTTATAGGATTGAAGGAGACCTGACAGTTTCCAAAATCATTATAAAAAGTAAGCATTCAATAATAACCTTAAAAATTAAAAAAAGAAAAAGAAATTGTCCAAGAAAGGTAACCTTACAAGCCCCAACATTTTCAAGAGACAACTGAAGTTCTTCTAAGTATCCAGTGGAGTGATCTGCTGAATCGGCTTTACCATAGTTGGTGATCAATATAGCAGTTGGTATCCGAGTAGATTGCACAAGAAGATGCAAACAATTTTGAAGTCTTCCAAAAGCAACTCTACCATTTGTCACCGGAAGGTCATCAATTAAGAGTATGATTGATGATTTTGAACCCTCATTAAGGGATGATGGGATCAATCCATACTTCCTTATTCTCTCCACAAAATTTTCAAATTCATCCAACTTTGACATGTAGCGTATTCCTAGTAGCAGATTGGTATATGCCAACAACAGCATAGTCTCCATTAGATCACTTCAAATTCAAATCCTTTATGGAGATTTTATGTATCGTAATTTTGAAGCTAGGTTTTTCCTCTTGCCTTACATTTCAATTTGTTTTCATTTTATCTTTTATTTTTTGCAAAAATACTGATGGTAAAGTTAGATTTCAATTTGAGAATACTCAACTGCAAAGTCATGAAATTTAAACTCCACTCTATTTAACAAACCCTTGGCTGCATGATTAAGAATTACTCAAAGTACCTGCACTGGAGTTGTATAAATGTTCTTGCCAAACTACAGGAGTTGGTGTGTTCCATTCACACAATGTGGCTCCAAGGTGAGATGCAATCGCATGAATAGTTGCCTACAAGATGAGAAGAAGCAGAACTTTTAGTCAAATGTTTGATTCTATTAGCAGAGTTCATTCAAGAAGCAAATTTTAAAAATATAATAAATAGCCCATCACATAAATTATCTGAAGCAGCAAGTCAATCACTTGAGAAAAATAATATTAATCATGCAGCTCATAAGCCTATTAATCAAATTCTTGGGGAAGTTTTGTTTTAAACTTAAATGTTGGAAAGGATGACACAAGAATTCTTTTGCATACTTTGAAGAACGGAAATCCATGAAACTAACAAAGCAACTGAACAAAAGATCTCTAGAATAAATAAATGAATGAAACTATGACACATACGGATTTTCCAACACCAGCTTGCCCAGTGATGACAAGGACATGATTACTAGATGAACCCTGTACATTATGAGAGAAAAAAAAAATTGAGATCCACAATAATGAAATCCAATTAAAACAGAAAAGAACAGAAATTGTGAAAAATGAATCAAGGAACAGGAAGAAATAAAACTCCATAGTTGTAATCAATATTGGAAAAGTAATCAAAGATGTCTACTAATTAAAGGAATCATTTTTCAAGTAAAATTGGACTTGCTGATAGTCTTTTGAAGGAAAGGATCAATGAAAAATATAATAACCTTTGAACTTGTTAATCTTTCTTCAAACCACAACTTAACTTCTTCCACCTGCAATTACAAAGACAAAGATGGAATAAGAAAGAGGATCAATCTGGTAATCAGATATTCATTATTTACAAAACGAAGCCAATAAACTCAACCTTCTTCTTGTGAACAGCGAGCTCCTCAAAAGAACGGGGTTTGTATTTATCGACCCATAACTCCTTCACGTTGCTTCTTCCAGAACCTGATTCATGCTTCCACAATTATTATAGGTATTACCCACTTCAAGAATTAGTAATATTAGCTGTGGCCAATTTTATTGTATCAGTTGTAAATTGTAACCATAATGGCACACGATAAAATACCAACAGAAATCAAAATTTGTCAGAGCCACAGAGATTACAGAGGCAAATGGAAGCAATGAAACCAGTGTTGAGTGTAAACAAAAAGGAAACCAGCACATGAAGAACAATAACTATAGTTACATCAATGGCGTACCAGCAGATACCTTTGAACCCACTAAACACTTCGTCAAAATCTTCACAGAACAGCTTGACCTGCATAAAAAAAAACCATTTCGCTTAAATTGCATAAAACTTATCTCTACTGTGGTAGGCTGCATATTCGATTAAGTTTATAGATACTAAACAACCAAGAAATTTACAAATTACCTCATCCCAATTACTTGGTACAGTGCCCAAGCTAGCGCGAGAACTCGAAACACGAGCCCTTTTGGATCGCCTAGGGTTTGTGCGCGGAACCGTAGAGGTCAATTGGGTCGGTGTATATCTCCGATTGGCGCTCGATGAACGATCTCTATCTTCTTCGTCCGATGACAAGACCACCACAGTGTTCCTCTTCGCCATCACAAAGACAACAAAAAACTCAATTTCCTAGGGTTTTGTGCAGACGATGATCCCTCCAGCTCGTAGCTCCATAGCTCGAGAAGATGCACCACCCTAAATCGTTGAAGAAAGAAGATTTCGAAGTACTTCGGAGCCTAAACGGTGCGTTTTGAATGTGAAATGAAACAGAGTGAACAAAAATAAAGCTTGAAATGCCAGATTTTGGGTGGAGTGGCACTGGCAGTGAAGAGAGGTTTGGTTTCGCGGGTTCGAAAATTCGCGGGGTTTTGTCACATTTTGTACTGTGAGAATGGTAAGGCGTCGAGGAGAAGCCAATGGGGGTAATGCTCCGGTGCATCGACTTTTAGTAGCAAATTCGTAAGTCTACGTTCGGAGCCGTTAGATTCATTGATTGGAAATTTATAATCGTAGTGGGCCTGTGAGGTTTTCGTACTCTTTGTCTCATCGTAGTGGGCCGATTGCCTCGGCAAAAGTAAAAGGTTGGTCTTTTTCTAAGCCCAACTCCCAAATACAAACCTCAATTTAGTTATTTTCTAAATCCTCAATTTGCCATGTCGACTTTGGAGTTGTAAATGTCTTACATAAAAATGGAGTCCACTTCATCTAAAGATTGGTCTTTATTTTTGCACGTCAACATTTAACAGAGTTACTAACACTCCTACTAATAGAGGATTTGTATGTTTTATGTGACTTCATGTATTGTTCTGCAAGATTTTAAAGTTTGGGTATGAATTTGAAATTACTCCCAAAGTTTAGGGGGTTTTATATTGTTAACCCTAAAAATAATATAAAAATTATCAAAGAGGTCCATCCCAATGGAAAAAGGTCTTAACTTGCTAACTAAAGGTTTTAAGTTCAAATACCCACGACATCATAGTTGTGTGTTTTTGAAAAATCTCCTCTCATGTAATTTAGACTATCGCTTATACTAAAAAAAACACCAAACAAACAAACGAACTTATGGTTTCATTTTGTTTCATCCAAATGTTATTTGATAAAAAGGTTGATGCAATGCAATGGTCCAAATTCAATAATATTTTTTATTTATTTATTTATTTATTTATTTTTAATAGATGATACATTTTTTAGTAGTGACACATGCTTCTCATTTTGTTTGAGAGTGGCACATGTTTCTCATTTAGATATTGTATCAGGTTTTAACTCTTTGTTGATTTCACATTCTAAAATTGATCAAAGTTGGTCTTAATCGACACACATCAAATTACGTCATAAAAGAGAAAATTATATCAAATGAAAAGCAAATTTTTTTAATTTCTCACGATAAATAGTGTCCATATCGCGAACTCCTCGAATCGGACCTACTGCTACTGGTCGGTCCATCTCGTGGCGCCCTCCAATCAATCTCTCCCTCCCACTGCCCTACCCCGCCACAATACATCTTCTTCCTTCTTCAGCACAGCACAATGCCCCACTTCTTTATCACACCAGAACCAGACGCAAAATCACCACCCTCTCCTCTATCTCCACCCAACCCAAACCCCCACTCGAGTCCATGGCTTCCACGGCCAACCCATTCTCTATCTCCATCTCTTCCAAGCCGACCCTGAAAGCTTCTGTCTTCACGCCCAACAACTCGGCCGAGCTATCTCTTCGGGTTCAGAGCTCTAAAGCCGCTTCTCTGCGGTCTTCGTTCGTTTCGCAGAGCTCCGTTGAGTTGACTCGGCTCGGGAACTCGGCGTTGAGAGCGAGTCGAGTGAGATCGACGTCGAGGATTATGGCGAGTTCGGCGCAGGTGGTTGATCAACCGCCGAGTAAAACGGGTCCTGTGGTTCCCACCATTGTGGACGTGGATTTGGGTAATCGGAGCTACCCAATTTACATCGGATCCGGACTTCTCGATCAACCCGAACTTCTTCAGAGGTTTCGATTCTTAGCTTGCTCTTAAAAGTTTTAAATGCTCATAATTTAACATTTTGTAGGTCGTGTGTATTAAAATTCTGTTGAGATTGATTATGTGAACTCGTAATGTTTTCAGTTTCTGAGAGAAATGTATAAGAAAATGAAAAATTAAACTAGTGAATTAAAAAAATTGTACTTGGAGTGATTGGATTTAGTAACAGGGCAAGCTTGCAGCTTTCTATGATGGTAAGTTTTCGGAGAAATGCTGGTTCTATCATCCCTTAATGCTGACGCTTTAAATTTGCTGAGAGAAATATATACGAAGTGAGAAATTAATATTTGAACTTTTAATATTTTTACATGAGTGATTGGCTTTAGTAAAAGGGCAAGCTTTTGTTTTTCTTTGAAAGTAAGCGTTTTTAGTTCTTTTGGTTTCGTGGATACCCAGGTGCTTATAGTTGATTATTAATTTAATATAGGCATGTTCATGGAAAGAAGGTTCTTGTGGTCACTAACAACACAGTTGGGCCATTGTACTTGGATAAAGTTGTTGATGCTTTGACAAGAGATAACCCAAATGTGTCGGTTGAGAGCGTGATTTTACCAGATGGTGAGAAATATAAGAACATGGTAGGTGTCCAAATGCTTGTTTAAAGTTTAGTCTATAAGGTGGTATTTTTGGCAGTTGCATTATGAGTAACTGTGTTCTTTAAACTGGTAGGATACTCTTATGAAAGTTTTTGACAAGGCTATTGAGTCAAGACTGGACCGAAGATGTACATTTGTTGCCCTTGGAGGTGGTGTGATTGGTGACATGTGTGGCTTTGCTGCTGCTGCTTTCCTTCGGGGTGTTAATTTCATTCAGATTCCAACAACTGTTATGGCACAGGTCTGTCACTAGCTACTTCTTTCCTCTTTATGAATCATGCACTTATCTCAGAATTTCTCATGCATCAAATTTTTATGTTGGTCGACTTGCAGGTTGATTCTTCTGTTGGGGGGAAAACTGGTATAAACCACCCTCTTGGGAAGAACTTGATTGGTGCTTTTTACCAACCCCAATGTGTGCTTATAGACACAGACACACTAAACACGTTGCCAGAGAGGGAACTGGCATCAGGGTTTGCTGAGGTCATCAAGTACGGGCTGATTAGGGATGCAGAATTCTTTGAATGGCAGGAGAGGAATATTCAGGCTTTAATGTCGAGGTATAAAATTCACACTAAGGAACAGTGAAAAAGTTTCCAGACCCAGTACCGTGTTGCATATTTCTCATGATTTGTGGTCTATTTGACATGAAAAATGTCACAGGACATGAAACCAAGAGAATAATTTGTCAGAGCTAGTGCTTGTGACTTTAAGCCTTTAACAATATGTGTAGTCTAGCCCATTTTTCTTTTCTAGTCTGTTGAAGCTTCATGACTAATTGTTCGTGCAAAGGATGCATTTTAGATTAGTTATGTTGATGAGTATAGTTGGTGCATTGCAGGGATCCAGGGGCATTGGCTTATGCTATAAAGCGCTCATGTGAAAACAAGGCTGAGGTTGTGTCCTTGGATGAGAAGGAAAGTGGACTGAGGGCTACACTGAATTTGGGTCATACATTTGGCCATGTGAGTTTTGGTTTTGAACACTTGATTGTCCAGGCTAATTTCTTTTTATTTTGTGAAAGTTTTGCGAGCATTTGTATTATTATGTGATCTTCTCCTTTTGTTATATTTTGGAATACTCTGCTACATGGTCTATCTAATTAAATCTTTTGCATGTTCTGCCATGTCTATTCAGGCAATAGAAACTGGGGTCGGCTATGGGCAGTGGCTCCATGGGGAAGCTGTTGCAGCTGGCATGGTAATCACCCTCTACTTTTTCATTTCTTGGTTGTTGGTTCCCTCACAAAAGCATTCCTCAATGTTCAGAGAGCTTGTGTGATATGTTTAGGTTATGGCTGTTGACATGTCATACCGCCTTGGTTGGATCGATGAATCACTTGTGAAGCGAGCTAACAACATTATCAAGCAGTTCAAGCTACCTATTGCCCCTCCTGAATCCGTGACAGTGGAGATGTTCAGATCTGTAATGGCGGTAAGAGGATGAGGCTGTAAGATTACTGAAGCAGCTGAATAACTTCTTTGCTTATTTCTTAATGTGTCTGTCTTCTTTTGGTATGGCAGGTTGATAAGAAGGTAGCTGATGGGTTACTAAGGCTCATCCTTCTGAAAGGTCCTTTGGGCAATTGTGTTTTCACAGGTGATTATGATAGAAAAGCCCTGGACGCTGAACCTGCATTTTGTATTTTAGATGGCCCCAGGCTTCCCTTTAATTTATTGGCAAGAGCCTTTGGCGAGTTGTAATGTTATAAATTGTTGCATTTACAATATATTCAATTCTGGGAAATCATGTTATTTCAATGCTTATTCGATTGTGGATATCTGGAATAAAATATGCACATGCTTTTCTAGTTCCAACAATTTTTCATTCCTTCATGTTTCGATTTTACTTTTTAACCTCTGATCCGCATGCTTATAAGTCATAAACACACAAGGAGCTAGCATTGTCTAACACACAAACCTGTGATAAAATGAAACCTGTGGGAAACTACCTTGAGAAGCAAATAAAGCATTCTTCCTCTTCTCTCCAGCAGTCACCGGTCCTGCATTGCCTCATGAGTGTTCCTGAAGACAAAGGTTAGAGAAAGATGGAAACTTACTGGAAAATGTTTCGGAGTATTTCATGGTACTGCTAATGTGCTGAATATAAGTGAAAATGATGTGCAAGAAAGTGTCAAATTAGGTGTCGAAAATCTCGGATCTTTGGTTGTATAATTTGTGTGTCATCGTGTTCATGATCTATTTTACTTCAGCTGACCAGGTTGCTAACTGAAATTTGAAAATGACGGGTGTTTCTTTCCACTTAACGCTGTAATTTTTCTTTTCCCACCTTAGGCCATCTCTAGTCATAGGCTATAGGCCAAATGTAGACCTTAAGATGAGTAAAAAGTTAGATACCAACTCTAGTCATTGACCCAAAAAAAAATGAGGCCAAATTTTGATTAGCCCATGCCAAATTTTTTTTGTGAGCCCAACGCATTTGCTGCTAGGATGAGGAACAATTATGCGTGGGCATGATCAGCGGATGACTCCGGGCAACTTTTATTCAAGAGCCCAGCGCATGTGTGCTGTCCAGTTAATTTCTACCTAAGAGCACAAGTCACTTGGATGCTTAAAGCAGCTCATTGTGAATGTGGGTTTTAGCCATGGGCATTGCATTTTTTTAATACCTCCTTCCTTCCCAGCATGTATATGATTAGTTTTTGTTCTCTCTCTCCAGCCTTGCAATTTTATTCCACAAATAAAAAAAGTTCTGCAATATACTTTTCAAGGAGGGGAATGCAACTGTTCCATAACGGGGAGGACACAGCTTGGAAAAAGATCTTCTGCCAAGCTGTCCTTAGATTTGATGTCAACTTCAGTTACCCTTATACTTACTGTTTCTGCTCTTGTTAATACATCAGTTGGCAAATGAAACTTGGGTAAAATAGATTTAACAAAAATTAAAAAGAAAATTACCAAAAGCATAAGGGTTTTTTTTTCCCTCCATAATCTTAGGCTAGCTGTCTTGTACTTGAAGAAATTATCATATATAGTCGTGGAATTCTCTTGTATTTGAGACTGGATGAGGTTGTTGTTGCTGCTGTTGTTGTTGTCATGTGAAACATACTCTTCAAGTTCCAACCACCTCTGCTGTCACCATTGATTGGCAAGCAAAGGTTGTTGGTATGGTAGGAAGACTAGTTGCCCCACTTTTAAAACAATTCTCTGGTCAGAAATATGAGTTAATTGTAATTGTACCCCATGTCCTATCTTTAAAAAAAACTAATTAATCATCAATTAGGCAGTTGATTACTGCTTAAGATATCAACTAATACAATTTAGTACATGACGAATTTGCTTAAAAAGAAAAACTTTATCCCATCCCTAAAATGAGTTGTGTTTTCCTACAAGCAGAGGACTACTCCCTTTTCTTTTCTTCTTCTGGTTTGGTTGCTACCCGATCTTTGTGGTTGGGAGACCCTACCAACCTCGAGGGTAGGGGGTGTGCTTTATGCTACTTCACCCACCAATGCCAAGATGAACAATCCAAGACCGATGTATGCCTCACTTGGGAAGGTTTACATAGCAACCAATCACTTTAATGCTCTACTTAGTTACAAACTCATGCTATTAGGTTTGGATCAACAACAAAGGACCACTTGGGAAAGCACTCTTATCTCCTTAGGATTTATACTAAACTATAGTACATCATTAGACTCTAAAAACTCTTTTAAGTGCATTAGGTTTTAAAGCACACACATTACAACCTACCTCTAGTGTTCCTCCTAAGCTAATCAATAATATAAAACAAGTAACGTTTTCTTAGTAGATATCTGACGTGTTACATTATTGTCATATTGTATGTATTTAGAATACACACTAAAATAAGAATTATTAATCAATGGTTCATACTAACACTTCACAAACAACATAACGCGTCAAACTCTCTAATACTTTGAATATAAATAGAAATTGCCCGATAATTACGCGTGACAGAACCAACCATTCCAATATTACCTTAAATCGGGAGACGATTTCGAATTAAAAAGGATAAAAATTTAAATCACACACAGAAGATTTAACGTTGAAATAAAATCCATTTTTGTCATCCAGTGAAAACACCACAAACAACCAACCAAGACTGAAATAGCATATTATCCCTTCCACTCCACCCCCGAAACAGCACCACCAAAATCCGGCCCGAGAGAGTCAAGATCCGATATCCAGAAACAAACCGGATCGAACTTCCTCGCGATTAACGAGTTAAAAAAGAAAAAGAAAAACTCAAAATTGAAAGAAAAAAACAGAAAAGTAGAGTGAGAGAGAAAGAGAGGGAGGCTCACACAAATTGTTGGGTTGTTGCCCAACGAACGCTTCAACGGCAAAAAAAAATTCACGGCCAAAAAAAAGGAGCCATTTTTGTTCTCTCGCCTCCTCTTTTCTCTTTCTTTGATCTCCAACTCCAAACCCCAACCACACCTCGCCCATTTTTCTCTTTTCATTTTCCCCTCTTTCGAAATCCCCCAATCTTTTTCTCTTTCTCTCTTTCTCTCTCAATTTTCCCTCGTCCCCCATTTGGTCAAATTAGGGTTAGGGTTTCGCTGAGATTCGTCCGGATTTCGATCCTTACAGATGTGTGATTGAAGAGGAGGAAGGAGAAGAAGAAGAAGATCGGGTCCTCAGGTTGAAGATCTGGGGCTTGGGTTTTTCTTTCTTTCTTTGCTGTTTGAGAAAGTGAGAGCGAAAATCGCAAAATGAGCGCGTCCAGGTTCATAAAGTGCGTCACGGTTGGGGACGGGGCTGTGGGCAAGACTTGTCTGCTTATCTCCTACACCAGCAACACCTTCCCCACCGTAAGTGGAGACCCCCCAATTCGTTGTTTGATTTTATTTTTTCTTCTCAGTGCTTTAATTCAATTTCCTTATCTGGCATTTGATTTTAGGGTTCTATTGTTGTGATACGTGGAATGTATTTGGTAATTCATTTATTGCTTTTAATTGGGTTTTGTTGGGTCCTGGGGAAGTTTAGGTCAAATGCAAAGAATTATTGGTGACTTTTTCCTTTCGATGCAAGAATTTTTTTCAAATTAGCTTCCTTTGAAAATTGAATGTGTTTTCTTTGTTGTTCTTTTTGTTTCTGCTCTTAGCTAGGACCAATTGGAGGCTTGGGGACTTTATGTTATTTCCTTAGCTCAATCTTATTGACTGGATTGGTTTAGGAAAACATTGGGAAAAGATATTTGGAATTGTATTAATTTTTGTCCAAATTGCCTTTTTTTTTTTTAAGGGAGAAAGGCTCGAGAGTTCTATCTCCATTTTGAATCTTCAGAAGGGTTGGAAAATAGTGGTTTATTTCATTAGTTAGTGGATTTTAATGTCATTTTGGATCTTTTCTGCAGTTAATTTAATTTCACACATGCCCGTAATGTATTTGGAATGAAGGTGTTTGATAGGAGCTCTTTCAGATTTTTGGCATTTTGCAACAGCCATTTCACCTCTAAGATGTTATTTGATCTTATATTTTCAATTTCTTTCTCCCTAGAGTGTCTTAACTTCCAAACTTTTTTGCAATGTTTGTAATTTCATACTGTTAAGGTTGAATGAGAGAATTATTCATAATGTTGTATGGTTAATGACTCTCCTTTGCACTGTGGTGGGAAACAGGATTACGTGCCAACTGTTTTCGACAATTTCAGTGCAAACGTGGTCGTCAATGGAAGCACTGTTAACCTGGGGTTATGGGATACAGCTGGTAAATATGCATAATCACTTTGGTTTTTGTTTAGTAGGGATGGTATGACTGAATTTGTTTTCTGTGCAACAGGACAGGAGGACTATAATAGATTAAGACCTTTGAGTTATCGCGGTGCTGATGTTTTCATACTGGCGTTCTCTCTCATCAGCAAGGCGAGCTATGAAAACGTGTCCAAGAAGGTGAGATTATGCTATTTCAGATTCTGGCAGCTTTTGTCTGAGCACTGATACCACTTTCATAAGAGTAACATAATAATATGCTAATAATTATTATCTTTTGACTTTACAATTGATGATCTGTTGACGAATTGAAATATATTGATTTCACTTCCAGTGGATCCCAGAATTGAAGCATTATGCACCTGGTGTTCCGATCATTCTTGTTGGAACAAAGCTTGGTAAAAGTTTATCTTTTCTAATGTGAATTCCCTGTACTTATGGAGAAAAAGTTGCCGTTACTTTGGAAATATACTTTTTTTTCCTCAACTTGAGATAAATCTTGGGATGGGCTATTGGCCACGTTGAGGGTTTTCTAATTAATGGTCGTTCTAACTGTGGATTATCTTTAATGAGGACACTTCTTACTTTTCTTTTTGTCATAAAATTTAATGAGCCAGATCTTCGGGACGATAAGCAGTTCTTTATTGACCATCCGGGTGCTGTGCCAATTACTACAGCTCAAGTAATGTTCTTGTCTTGTGTATTGCCCAGTGTTGCACCTTTTTTTTTTTCTCTCTCGCTCTTATATTTGAGATTTATATCTTTACCCTTCTAGGGAGAGGAGCTCAGGAAGCTAATTGGAGCACCAGCATATATCGAATGCAGTTCAAAAACACAGCAGGTATTTAGATTCTCTATTGCATAATGCTTGGGGGTCTTTTTCATGCCTGGACTTTCATTTATAAATTTGAGCTTGCAAACTGCAGAATGTGAAAGGGGTCTTCGATGCAGCAATAAGGGTTGTCCTTCAACCTCCGAAGCAGAAGAAAAAGAAAGGCAAAGGGCAGAAGGCATGCTCCATATTGTGATTGGAAATATGTGTAAAGAGATAATGACCAGCCAATCTGCCTGTATTCCCTCCCTCCCACCCCTTTCTCCCCTAATATTTTTCCCTTTTGTCCC